TGACTCTAAACTGACTCTAGATGCAGCTGCTCCCTCAAAGAGTTAACATCCTGTCAATGGAGGGGACTCTTCAGAAAGTGAAGAAGGGGCAAACTGGAGGGATGCCATGAGGGTATTCATAGACCCCATCTGCTCAGTTCTGCATGACTGGCAGCTTAGCCTCACATCCACAAAACTAGTCTAGGTTTATCAGTCTAAATTCTATATTTAAGAAGTGTAAAATTTTTCATAAATATATTTATTCCAGTTCTTTTCCTGCTTGGCCTCTTTTTTTGCAAAGACTGTCTTTAATGTCTCCCTTCTGCATGAATTTTACAGCTGTCCTTAAAAAAAACAAAACACGTTTCCGAAAATGTATAGACTTTTTACAGAAAGAAACGAATAGCAACGTATAACAAAATTTTAATGATTAAGTGAAAATTCAATCTACAAGACTCTTATGAGCCTCACCTGGATCACCTGCTGACGTGCCAAGTAAAAAGCTCCACCCAAACACCACTCCCCCTCTAAAGCCAAATATGGTTCAAGATCCCCATAAGAAAGCTCTACTGCAAACCACCTAAACTTCCACCCACCTCATCGTCTTCCTCACTCTCAAGCTGTTACCAGTGGACTATTCCTCCACTAGTGTCTTGGCCCTGGGGGAGAAGCCTACTATAATTCTTCTAAGTTATTTATCCGAGCTGGTGTCATTTCACAGCATCCAAGTCTTCTGCCGGGGTCTGAACGCTAGAGAAATTTGTCTAATTACAACTTTTCTCTCTGTGAGTAACTCCAGGTTGTATTTTTGATTAAATTTTTTATTCTTTTTTTAATTTAGGAATCACTTTTTAAGAAATAAAAGAGTTTTGCTTAACTCAAATCTGGAAAATTACTAATAAATATTCAATGTTCTGGTCATGTACATTATAGTACCACTTAGTCTGTTTAAGGGAACCCAAAGTTGAAAACTGTAAGAGGCAAAAAAAAAAAAAAGGGTTTGGTTAGCAGATTTCCTTTGTTAGACTTATTTCTCAAACTTAAAGACAACCTACAAGAAAACACTCACGCAAATAAAACACAGACATTTCTCTTTTCTTCTACATATAGGTTAGCATGGAATACACTACAGTGGAAAAACTGTTTTCTCATTCCTTCATATAGATATGAACTTGAGTGAATCCCGTTCCTACATTCATTGGGGTTATACATTTTTTTTACCCATTAATGCAGCTTCAATTATTTTGGCACTGTTTCCCTAAATGTCAGGGGTGTTTTTTTTTTGGATAATATCTTACCATTTTTATAATTGACATGAAGGTCTTGCTTGCAGTTTTCCTCAATGTTCAACCCAAAGGTGTACTATTTGGCCGGGGCACAGATTCTGTGCAGACAAGTCAACTTTTTTTGATGCAACACTTTCTTATTCAAGTCTTTGTCATTCTTTCTTTAAACGCTGGTGAGCAGCCACGTTGGAAGATGGAGGGGGGGCATCCTCTAATTGTTCTGAAAAGGTAGCAATAAAACATTGTCCAAAATGTCTAAGGATCCTCAAGAGTTAATTTTACTGGAAGTAATGGAGCCTTTTTTTTGAGAGCTACAAAATACAAAAATAAATAAATAAATAAACACCTCACCTAATTCCTGTTTACAACAAACATTTTATTTTACAAAATGCTGTTAGGTAAGAACAGTCCTCCAACTGCTAAATCCAGATTTGTCATCTGCCAAACAGAGAGATGTATAATTTATATTTTCAAAGAACATGTCTCTGCTGCTCTATGTAAAATTGTCATGATCTGGCCTGTTTGCTCCTCCCTAATTAGTAATTCCTCTCACCTGTTGTTTTCCCCTCACTGCCTCAATTACAATTTATTCACCTCACCTGTTCTCCTCTGGTTTAAATTCAGTTCTCCCTGAGCATTCAGTGCCAGATCATTACTTGTCTTTCTGTTAGCCTGTCTGTTAGTTTTATTCCCTTGGTTCATGTCCTGGATCCTAGCAGCCAGTGGAAAGAGGGTTTTGTTTTTGTCTCGTCTCCTGATCGTCCACTGTTCCTCCCCCACAGAGTCCTCTGGGATTTCGGCTCAATTATGTGGGGAGGTTCAGTTTTTATCTCAGTAAGCCTGGCTCCAGGGACGAGACCAGTTTAAAGTTCTGCTTCAAGTTCCGGTTCTACGTCCTGTCTTGGCTACCCTCTTCCACTGAGCCTGCCTGTCTGCACCTGATCCTGTCTGCTCCTGTGTGGACCACTCGGTCATGCTTTTGGTCCCAGTCAGACTCTGAACCCTCCTGGGAGCCCTCGGATGCCTGGAAATCTGGATCCTGCCACCTGTTTCTGTTCCTGCCTGATCTGGATTCTGCCTGTTCTGTCTGTTCCTGTCTGTTCTGGATCCCTGACCAGGACCGGCTTCCAGCATGTCCTCTGGAACTGCAGCACTTGGGGACATTCTAGGACTGGACTGTTAAACCAGAGTATCTGAGATTGGGCAGTGCCCCGCCCTCCTCCTGCAGTGTCCGTGAGCCTCAGCTCCACTTCAGTTTTTGTTTTATTTTAATAAACTTTTTGAACTTTCCTACTGACTGTCTCTCCTTGAATACTGGGTCCATCTGTCCGCGCTCTTGACAAAAATAGTTTATCACAGTGATGCATACTTAAACAAACTTGTTAAATTCCTGCACAGTATGGGGTTAGTTTTAAGCTAGAAACCATATAGAATACTGCCTATTGAGTTTATGCTGTTATTTTGAGCTAATGTCAAAAATTTCCAAATTTGAACTGGATTTTGTGTCAGTAATTCTCGCTTCACATTAATGAAATTTCAAGCTTTTAATACTTATTTCATGTTAAGAAAGTGTAACCATAAAAACACAAGAGATGTGTAATGGTTATTATATCAGTTTATTTGTTATTTGTTGGTGGTCGATTAATCTTAGGTTGAGGATTAGTTTCTGTGAGGCTTTGGGTTACATTCAAGTATTTCAGGGTCAAATTGGAAGCTGAGGCCAGTTTCATGAAGCAGGTTTTACAAACTCAGATTTAAAGCCTCAATTCTGAAATGATCTGGCCTACAACACTTGTTGATGCTATTAAGATTATTTCTGAGAGCATTACAATGGCATTTAAAAGCATTTAATAAGAGTTACTCATTCCTTTATAAAACCTGTAGACCCCGTTTTATATTTCATGCTTTTAGTTGCTCCATATTTTCTGATCGTGTATTTTTGCAGATAGCAGTATGACCAGCAGGTGGCAGAAGAGGATCATGTTTTCTTTCATTGGACTATCTACTGTCGGGATGTTCGGACAGTTCTTTTTTCTTTTCTTTTCTTTTCTTTTCTTTCCTTCTTTCTTTCTTTTTTTTTTTTTTATAAAAAAACCTACATATTGCAACTTCTGCTAAATAAAGGATTTGCCTACATTTACCGCCAAGCTTCTCGACTTTTCTTCCCCTCAAGAACAAGAATGTCTCTGCAGAATAATGGTGGAGAAACACGAAACTTGAGATTTAGAGCAAAGGTGTGGTCTTTAGGTTTGACTCCGAATGTTTATTTAAAAATGACTTCATTCTAGTAACTTTTCAACAAACATAATCTTTAAGGATTACATGGGCCTGTCAACAAATCATCCTATGTAATCCCTGCAAATGCATAGGGGCCTCCTGGCTTTGGATGATATATATATATATATATATATATATATATATATATATATATATATATATATATATATATATATATATATATATATATATATATATATATTATTATTATTCCAAACTAGGATTTATTTATTGATTAATTAAATTCTGGCAAAAACTTTTCCACAACTGTTTTTTTTCCAGACCTGTTGGCTGTGTTCCCTTCCTTTTCAATCAGTAATGTTCTCTAACCTCTCTTTGAGGCTTACACAGAACACCAGAGACAAATAGTAAGTATTCTTTAATTTGTTAATTACAAATACACAATTTGTCAGGATTTCACTTGCAAAAACCTTTGACAAACAAGTTGAATTTTTTCTTCACTTCACAATTATGTGTCCACTTTGCATTACAGTAAATCGTACTTGTCAGCTAGGCTTGTGAGTGGAAAGTTACAAAGTGCAGTGTCCAAAGGTATAAATAATTTTGCAGTAAAAAGTAAGATAAAAGGAAGGACATGTTAGCCTGCGTAAAAATATCCTGATTAAATTTTCTGTGTCAAAATGTTCCTTCCAAATTGTCCCAGAAAATTTACAAAAATACAATCCTCGCACAAACAACAAAACTTTACAATTAAGCTCAACAAAAGCGGGTACAAATCAGAAAACAAGAAATCTGTTGCAAAACAATTTGACAGAAAAGTGAAATATTTTCTAATCTACCAACAGAGGCTCTTAGGATTGATTTTAAATTTTTCGAAAAGGTCACTTCATCTGTCTTCTTTCAGTGTGCTTTTAATAGAACTCTACCTTTATCATAACTTCAAGATCTTTTTCAATGTTACAACTACATGAATCAGGTGAATGAGTAGAACAGCTAAGTTTACAGAAATAATAACATTGAATAATCACTTCCAGATCAAAGGTTACAGATGTAAACATTTTCAACAACATTCACACTGTGCACAATTAATAATTAATCACATCCTTCACAAGTCACACATTTTGTTTAAATTATAAAAATACACTGTAAACCGGAGATCACACAGTCACGCCGCCCCCCCCCCCCTGCACACACACACACCCCTGCCCAACCATGATTTATTTCCATCTCTCATACTTATAAAACTGTTTAATTTGTTGTCAGTTACCAAGTAAACAAACGCTGCCCAGGGCGGCCAATAGCAAGAATTCAATTCAATTAAATTCAGTTTATTCATATAGCACCAATTCACAACACATGTCATCTCAAGGCACTTTACAGTTCTACCAGATCATACAGTCAAGTTGATTCAAAGTTTTCTATCTAAGGAAAACCTGTTTATTGCATCGACTCATTGACTTGAATGCAATCACTCACACTAAGCATGCTTGTAGCGACAGTGGAGAGGAAAAACTCCCTATTAACAGGAAGAAACCTCAAGCAGAACCAGGCTCAGTGTGAGCTGCTGACTGGGGTTCAAAGAGAGAGAAGCACAGACAGAAAAACCAGTTGTAAAAGGCAGCCTCGTCCGAGCCAATTCCAATGGCACAGGATGAAGAGAGCACATCAGATCTGATCTAATGTAGTAACCCATCATAACCTGAGGAGGGCACCAATTAGGCAGTTATAGACACAAAAGGGGAATTTAAACAATGAAGGAGTAAATCGATGCAATAATGCCTGGGACATGTTAATATCACTGAAGAAAAACTATCCATAGAGTTAATCAGCAAAAAAAAAAAAAAAAAAAAAATATATAAAAAATGCTGATTTAGTGGTAAGTAGCCGTTTAAATGCTTTGCTGGATTCGCATTCTTATGAATAATTAGGCAAAAGGAGCAGTTTGCCCAGGTCCCAATTTCTTCCTATTGGACTAATCTTTGTTGGGTTCACAGTCTCCAAGGTGCAGCTTAAGTACACCTTTGCTGTGCAGCTGCAATAAGAGCTTAAACTCCTCTGGCATGGCATGAAATCCCCCCTTTGGTTTTTTGTCATCGTAATAGTGGTTAGTCAGCTCCTTAAATGTATATGGGTGAAGACTGAAGGGCCAGAAGCCGTACAGGTGGACGTTGTCACAGAGTTCCAGTGCCATGCTTGTCAGGATCATGCCAGTGCTGAGCCGTACAGCTTTCCATCCTTGAGAGCGCCAAAAGGTGTCAAGATCTTTTAAGTACGCTGGACTAAAGTAGATAGGTTGGATGGGGCTTTCAAAGTCCTGAATTGTTTGGTAAGCCCGCAAACAGACAGCAATATTTCCAGTGTAAGAGAAGGTAGGGAGGAGAAGCATGGAGTCGCCATATTGGCACAGTTTCTCCATAAACTTCCGTCGGGGTCCTGTAAGAGATCCATACCTACAAAAACAAAGCTGATGTGAAATACAAAACACCGATATTATGCAAGCTGACAAAAATGTATTATCTCTCACCTTTCATAAAAGATGCTTGGGTTTGCCGACACCAGGTTTGTCTTAATACCAACATGTTCGATGTATTTATCTATCAGAGGAGCTAGGTTGCACCTAATAGAAATAACGTTTACACTTTCTTAATGGGATTCTTAAAAATATATTTTAACCTCTGATGTTCAGACGCATTACTCACCGGATAACAAAATCAGCTGAATCTATCTTCTTTCCACAGCTGCTGTTTGCAAGGATCCCACCATTCCCAACAACAGCACAGCTGTCATATGTTTTATTTGCAAAAGGATTCTCCTGAAATCACCAGTAGATGTTATACAATACCCAATTGACAAACATTGTTTTTTTTTTATACTTAGCGATATAAAAATAAGAGTGTACAGTAAATGGTTCTTCTCAAAGTAGATGGAAATGATTTACAGGAAATTTAGCAGCATGGAATAGATGGATACATTAAAATTGCAGCCCCTATTTTAATTTTATATCCAAGGTCACTTCTTTATATCATAAATTAATGCTAAAGTCTATTTTATAATATAAAAGTCTAATACTTGCAGACATTAAGTTGGCTAATAAGAACCAGTTTGGAGACAATGCACTGAGCAGCTCTGGTAACCGGATGTGTTTTTTTGATGAGCTGGAGACGAAATATTTTAAAATAAAAATGGAATGCGGAGAAAATAATGCTCTAGAATGCTCTAAAGAGGTTTTCAGGTGGCCTTTAAAAAAGCTATTTTAAGGACGGTTGATTCATTTATAACTTGGTGTCCTAGCTCCAACACAGCCTTGCCAGTCAGTATCTCCCCAGCATTGGTGCTCTCTGCCTGGCTAGATACAAGGAAGTACCAGACGCAGCTCTTGGAGTAGGTGGTGGAACCCTCCAAACTGGTTTTGTCTGTGGTGAATTGGATACACCTATAGACATTGACGCCGGCTTTCCAACTCAAAACAAGCTCTGTGACTCACTTGATAAAATCTGTATCCATCATGCTGAGTTAAAATTGGCAGATACTTAGAAACTCAAGCGCCTCCTATTTGACAACGCACCCTAATACCTTCAGTTATTCCATTAAGACAGAAGAAATTTTTATTCAAAGTAGATTTTATTTAAATCTAGAATTCTTGAGCAATTTAAAAATAATTAAAACTGGTTAGAAACTGTTGCTTAAAACACTATAAAACTGTAATCAGAGTTCATTAGTTCATATAGTATAATACATTTTGGTGATTTAGTCAGTTTACAAGAGTGAAGAAACAGTAAAGTAATTGGCTATAATAAGAATTGTTTAAGTATTAACGTCTGATTATTGGAATTGACGCTATGAATGGATTCTGTGTTATTGTAAGGCAGAAAAAGTCTGCTAGGGCTTGATGAAGCAGCTTAGAGACACACTGAGCTGCTCCGATTATCTGCTGTGTTTTGCAGTTTATTTAACATTGATGCATTTTGTTCCTTTGAGAAATTAACAAAACTTTTTTGTAAAGTTTAGATAGGTTGCATATAGTGGTTACCTGATTTAATGCCTGACTGAATTGTTCATCAAGTCTTTCTTTATTAATTACCTTGTGTCCTATTTCATAACTAATTAAGACAATTTTTTTTGCCTGAATTAAATATATATAATCAGCATCAACTATGATCTTCAGTGTAATTTAACCCATATTCAAAATGATAATATCTTATTTTTTCAACTAGCTAGCTACAATAACAGAACTGTAAAGGTTTATGGAAGTAAATATGCTGCTTTATTTAAACTGTTGCTTTTTACATAGCCTGGGTGCCAGTCCGAACTTAGTCCCGCCCACAAGGTTTGAGTTCGGGGAAGTTCGGTCTGGCTCTGCTCCATAGTAGCGCGAGTATTATCGCCCACTGTCAGGCGATCCAATCAAATTGTCAGGGCGGGCTTTATACGATGATGGACAGATGATCAAGAGTAACGTAATCAACCACGTGACCAAAGCGCGCTTGGGTGACAACAATAATGGCTGCCGCTGGAGAGTTTGGGTGAGTAGATTCTGCTATTAGGTCTGTTCTAGAAGATATCGACAGCAAATTAATTTTAAAAGAGGAACAGAGAAACGCGATCAAGTCTCATCTTCTTATTCTAGGCGTGAAAATGCACGCTTTGATTTTCGTGGACAACAACTATGCCTCGCTTAACATACATCATGCACTCCGTTGCTCTTATTGGTTGTAGCTCTATCCAATTGAGTGCAGAGGCATTTTTTTCCCTGGTTCGTTCAAAACACGCCCCATAATCACAGCTCTATGGAGCAGTATCAGACCCATATTCTGACTAGAATTGAGTCGGACTACGTCAGGCTACTTTTTACACTGAATTATAAATATATGAGATACCTACTTTGATTGGAAATACAGCTTTTGTTCTGTTATTAAGAAAATCAATTTAAGAAGACTGTTGGGGGCACATTACCTACTACCGTCATGTCTGTGGTAAATGATTAAATACTTCTATGCATGTAACAAAAAAATGCAAAAAGGATTCTGCATGCAGTAAATTTGAACAAACCAATGATGGCATTTATGAAATAGAGAGATATGCTATAGTCTTGCTTTGCTCAGGACAAATGTTAGCCGATTGACAGCAAGTTTCACTAATCTGGCAACAACTCCTTATATATAATTATAATTTATATATAATATATAATTTTCAACATAAGTATCCCCTTAGGCTAGTGATTCCCAATCAGGGGTGTGCGTACTCATATTGGACCTATGGTAAGACAAAATGCCCAAAGACGTACTTGTCTTTTGCACATAAGGCTGCTATCAACTCACAGCCAAAAACACAAAAATAATTTTTGCAAAACATCATAAAATATTTTACGATGTTTTGTAACAAAAATATTACAGGATATTTCCAAAGAAATGCAGTAATAAATGAATAACAACCTGCACCTAGACATTAACAAAGTGATCTTCATTGAAACACGGAAACAGCCAATGAAAGAGGCTTAAAGGGATTAGCATGACTGCTTCCATTCTTGTTGAGTTGGATTTCTAATATTCAGACTGACTGTGCAAGTTGACATAAAGCACCACACCTTTTTCTATGCACTTCTGTCAAACAAGCCCTTTTTCCTAAAAAGTAAAGCAATTAAGATCTCTTCTTCCTAAAAACATAAATATGCTGCTGAGCCTTTCTTAAATTTTCCCTGAAAAACATATAACTCAAGCACCTTTGAAATAATTTATAAACAGCCTCACACAATTGTGCACATAACTCACGTATTTGTAGTTATAATACATTCTTTTCATTAGAAACCTTGGACTTTGAAAAATTGCAATCATTGTTTAGCTTCTAGAACAGAGTAAATCTGCTGTCTCCTCAAAATAGCTCAATATACACCCATGAATATCTAAAATGCTGGCAGTTTCATGATGACATAACAGAACCGGTGGATGCTAAAGACCCCAAGTTCCTCCATGTTCCCTTTAAGGATGTCCCCTTTAAAGATGCTCCGTAGGGTTTAGGTTTTAAAACATGATTGGCCAGTCCTGTTTGTTTATACTGTAATACTGCCCTACATTCGCATTTCTGAAAAGAGGGGATCAAGCTCTGCTTCAGAATGTTACTGTACATGTTTTCATTCAGTTTCTTTAAGGCTCTTTTGCTTCCCAAAACCAGCAGCATTCATGCAGCCCCACACAATGACAACGACACCTCTATTCTTGGCTTTTGACAAGGTACACCAGTCTAGTACTCCTTGCGTAGCTACCTGCTCACACACATACACAAAAAAAGTCTACAGTAGGTGGCTGCTCAGTGGTGCAGTGGGTAGCACTTGCAGCAAGGTCATGTGTTCGATTCCTGACCTGGGCTCTTTCTGCATGGAGTTTGCATGTTTTCCCTGAGCATGTGTGGGTGTTCTCTGGCTTCCTTCTACAGTCCAAAAACATGACTCTTAATTGGCTTCTCTAAATACTCCTTAGGTGTGAGTGTGTGCCTGAATGGTTGTTTGTCCTGTATGTGTTGACCTGTCCATGGTGTACCACTCCTCTCGCCCGTAGTTACCAGCACCCCTCACAACCCAGTGGATGGATGGTCTACAGTAGCTTTGTATCATCAGACCCCTGGACAATAATCCATGCCTGGTTTATACTCAGAAAACAGGTTGTGTGTGCGTGTGTTGCCTCTGTGATGACAGTCATGCAGGCAATAATGTAAGGTATGGCCTGAGCTTTGGCCGAGAGGTTTTCTAACTCTAATTTTACAAATGATATCTGTTTTGAATAACATAAATGTTTTGAATGTTTTTTTAAGTTACAGTTTATGTAACTTTTACATTTTAAAATAGTCTAGCAGAACATCAAATAAGACCTAATTTTGTTGTACACTAAAGTTCTACCACTATAGACCATTGCAACCAAACATTGCCATTGGTCTAATCTTGTGCTAAAGATCATTTTCAGGCAAATAAAGCTATTCTCTGCCTAATTTCAGGCACATCAGACCTAATCGGTTAGAGACAGAAGATTAAAACCTTTGCTCGGTGGTGTAAGGAATACTTTGTGACTCTTAATGTTCAAAAATACAAGAACTGATCTTTGTCCCAAGGGCAGTTGGAGACTACTCTCCAGTGGTCATCCATAATCTATTAATTGCCCAAGCAGATTCCTATAAATATCCTGAATTAAAAATCGACAATAAATTATCGTGGATCGCTAAAGTTGATTATGTCTGCAACAGGGTCCAGCAGCGGCTACATCTTCAATGAAACAATAACCAGACAAGCCCAGAAAATCATCTCAGACCCCGCTCAGATTCTTTATTCAGAGTATCAGTTTCTTCCTTCAGGTGACATCTTAGAGTCCCTGCCTGTAGATTGAACCGCTATAAGAACTCATTTGTTTCCTCTTTCCCCTAAATGGAATAGTGGAATAGGCAATGGTATTCAAAATTTAAACTAAACTGACATGCTTTTTTTATATATTCATTATCTCACATAACAGATATTTTAAAGACGGGTTTTTATTAATGTTGCGCCTATGCCATTTTTTGGCTCCGATACTGATACCCAATACCTGGCTGTGCAGTATCGGCCGATACCGATACCATAATAATGTAAAATAATTGCCATCATGGCTTTGTCAAGCTGCTGCCTACCTTTGTGAAGCAGGAAAAAATGTAATACAAAGTGAATCCAGTAGAACTTTTTATTGCCTACCAGGAGTGGGTGACAATAGTTGAATAAACTTATGGCTCTCAAAATGGTATCGGTGCCCTATTTGTTGGTACTCGCAGATACCACCATTTTAGGGCAGTATCGGGGCCCCGTCCGATACTGGTATCGGTGCAACACTAGTTTTTATTAAAAAAAAATTTTTTCAAAGTTTTTATTGTGAATGTAATGTAACATGCTTCCTTATGTATTTATTTATAGTCTTATAGTGCAATTTTTTTTTTGCAGTGTTTTTATGTGTGAATGCAGTGTGACATAGTTTGGACTATGTAGCAGCCAGAGTCTGTACCCAAATCAAATTTCATTTGGGACAATAAAGTTAATCTTATCTTAAATACTTTTTTATCAACATAACCTTTTATGTCACTGTTTTGATAGAGTGAGCACTAGTATGCAGGGAGTGAAATCCACTAAAATCCACTGTGAATTATAAGATGTAAAACATGCAAACATTTTTCTTGGCATTTAATCTTGAACTGTTAGAGAACCTGAATATTCTTTTTTAAATAGTGACACTACCAGGGAAATTCATTAATAGTTGCAGAGGTACGTGTCTGAAATCCAGCCAATGGTTTGTTTTTGAACTTGTTTTGCATCTTTTAATGAAAAGGGTGGTTGAAGTCTGGAGAAACAAGATATACTGGTCATTTAGCGATCTCTACTCTAACCTGACTGTGGTTTCAGTCACAAAAAGCTGCTTCCTCCTCTTTAGGCTCGTCAAACAAGCCTTTTTTGGCAAAAGCATATAAGATTTAGCTAGTTTTAATAAGAATAAACCAATTTCAATCTCTGCATCTCACCGAACCAATGCATTTTCCTTAGATACTTCTAGCTAAGAGTTTTTTTTTTTTAAAATTAAGAATTTTTTCCAAAAACTTATAGAAACCAAAAAGTAATCAACTAAATAAGAATATGTATTTTTTGTGAAGTATTTTTGCTCTTTGAGAGAGTTGCTAAGATAGAGAATAAATTGTGCTTTGATTTGACTTGGCTAATTGGGAACTATTCATTTCAAATCTAAAATAATAATATCACCAAAAGTTGTCATCGCTAACGCTCAGTAATGTCATCATAAATACTTTGTGTGTAACAGAAAACAACCTACCTTTAAAAATGTTTCAAAATGCTCAGTGTTCACTTCAATACTCCTCTTTTTCTGTCCATCCATAACAAGCTTGGATCCCACCGGAGTGTTTTCCTGAGTAATAATGGCACTTTTATAACCACTGACCTTGAGTTTAAGCAAAGTCCTAAAAAGTAAAAAAAAAAGAAAGAATTTTATTTTTAAGTGCTGATTAGTTAGAAACAGAAAGCAACTGTAAGATGTGTAACAGCATAACAAGATATTAACTGTTAAATCAAAGCGAAGGTCAGAATGAAGCATGTTCCTATCTGGAGCAGTATATGGGTGAAAGGGAGGGTAAATCCTGGACAGGTTTCCAGGGCAGACACATACAACCATGAACACACACTCACACCATTTACCCTAACAGTCATGTTTTTGGACAATGGGAGAAAGCTGGAAAACCCAGAGAAAAACCTAAAAATGAACAGGGAGAACATGCAAACTCTAGGCTGGGAATTGAATCCAGAACTTTGTTGCTGCAAGGCAACAATGCTACAAACTGCACCACTCTGCGACGTACGTTATATATTTTCCTTAAATGTTTCGGGCTTATTGGAAAATGCTGTTCTATGAGGAAGGAACAAAATAATAACCAGTAATGACTGAGTCTGAAAAACTGGTTCTTCTGCTAACGAGTAGTTAAGTAATTGATCACATAAAATTTGACAGCCTCTTTTGTTTGTTACAGTATTCATTAGAATTTGCGGCAATATATAAATTCCTAGGAAGGGAAGTGGTTTTAAGTGTCAGAGTTAAACATAAAATATAAATTAGATTTTGTTTGTTTTTTATATTGTACTTGGTCCAAAGAGAAACAGCATCCTAAATAAATGAACATCAAATATTTCTATTAATATCAAGTTCTTTTTTTTGTGGCGTGTCCCTGTGCTTCCATTTCCTTTATGTATTCCTGATATCTAACAACGTCCACAACTTGCTCCAATGTGTGATTTTTAAATGCATTTCCATGTTGACCCTTCACAATCCTTTTCTGGTAACAGTTTCAGACAGAGGTCACCAATCTTTTTAAGACTTTAAGAGCTACTTCACGTATACTTAATCATAAGAGGTCTACCAATACTGACAGCATTCACCTAAACTTCATATACAATAAGCTTTTTTTTGTTTCTTTTTAATTTTTTTAAAATATAGTTATTTTGAAGTCTCTATAAATGCTCAAATGTTCTATATGATTAATTTAATAAAATGCTCTATGTATGGTTGAACAGAATAAAACAGAATTGGAAACTTAGCCTACTGGTGAATTATTCTGTTTTTAGAAGACACTGATCGCACCCCATGTGCTCCTTGAGGACCCCTTGTTGGCCACGGGCACAGCATTGGTGACCTCTTAAGCAGTTTTAAAAAATGTTTCATGCTCTTTAGTGTGCTGGAAGCCACATGGGAATGAAACTGATATTAGGCTACAAAAGTTTCTGATAGTTATATCCTTACCTTATTTCTTCATGCTTTTCCTCCTTCCTCGCCCAGGCTTGAGAGTAAGGCTCTAAAATGTCCTTGATTTGCTTCCTGCAGCAAATTTACATACGCAGAAACACAACAAGGTTAGAAAACTGTGAAGTGTGATGATTCTTTTATTGCACAGGCAAAGTTAACACTAAAGCAGTGGTTCTCAAGATTCCTTCCTTCCTTCCTTCCTTCCTTCCTTCCTTCCTTCCTTCCTTCCTTCCTTCCTTCCTTCCTTCCTTCCTTCCTTCCTTGCTTGCAAGATTGATTCTCACCTGCAGTCTTTACATGGCTTAGAAGCTTCTTTCTTGTCAGCCACTTTCTGAGGTTGGTCTTTACTGGAATTACAGAAGAAGAGGTTACAAGATCTGTTAACTTAAACATAAATATCTCATTTTGAAGCTTCATCATATATACAGTATTCACATGTGAATATGTATTTAAATCATAAAGCAACTTCAACAGAGGTATAATCTTTAACGGGACACCTTACACTGTTGTTCTGTAATTTTTTGGACTAGTTGTATAACCTTTAATATGTCTGTATGATGAATTATGTGTTTTTATTGTAGGTATCACCAACTGTGAAAAATGTGTTTGAAAAACAATCCCATAGGAATTCATTCTTTTACAAAAACAGTTTTAAACGAGCTGATAATGAATGACATATGCATAAATTTTGTTCATTTGTAGCTTCTCAAAATGTTCCACCAAAAGCCTTCACTGCAAAAAATCTAAATCTAGACAAGTCATTTTTTTCTTAAAATAAGTGCATTTGTTCTTGAATTGAAGAGGTAAAAGAGACATTCTGCCAATGAAACAAGACAATTTACACTTAAAATAAGAAAACACAATTGCATTGTCTTATTTCAAGTACATATTATCTAATTATCTTATTTTAAGAGTAAAATTACTCATTCCATTGGCAAACTATCTCATTTACATACTCAAATCAAGGGTGAATACACTTATTTAAGGAATTTTTCACTTATTTCTAGATCGTTTTTGCAGTGTTGAACTAAGTTCAACCTATAGTGGCACATTTAGACAACAAGTTATAGGCAAGGGAAGTGCTTCTGCAAAACATAGACTTTAAAAATCCATAATTCATCATAAATAAAAAAATATATTTCGATATATAATATACAAACTAAAGAGGAAAAATATCACGGAATGAAAAGTGTCACTCACTTCATAGTTAAATTAAAATAATTTTTAAAAAGTAATAAAAACAATTTAGAAACCTGGTCTACCATTTACAAATGGTGTTGATAGCTCAGGGTAAAAAATCTGTCACTTTAATCCTCTAAAATGGTGTTTCACTATCTTGTTTCCAATACAAAGAATCTATAGTTTAGCAGATCGGTTCTGAGACTGGTATAATTTGAGCTGCTTATAAAAACTAGTTTGGATTATTCCTAATAATGTTCTTTTTTCCTGATCAAGTCATACTTTTTTTTTTTACATATGAAAGCTAGAGTATATAACTAAATGTATTGCCTCTAAGGGTTCACCAATGCAAAAATTTGGAGGGACAGGAACATGTTCTACTATACATACTGTACCGTAAACCACCAACATCTCAATTTTTTTCTAACTCCTTCTATACATAGGCTTTGTTTGAGAACATTTAGAAGGCGAATCAAAACACAATCAGCATCAGTTTATTGGCCATGGTTGTGACTGAATAGTTGCTTTCAGTCAGGACTGAAATAAAGATTGGGCAGTTTGACCTGGAAGTCCTCAACCATAGCGTGAGAAACAGCGATAGTCAGGAATTAAGAGTTTTTTCATGAATTTTAACCATAATGAACGTTTGTTCAGGTCAAAGTTTAATATTGTATCTATATTGCAGCAGTTTCATAGGGAGATCTTAATCATATTTCCTGGTAGTTGGCCCTGTTTATATGACAGACCTTCTCTTCTTTCACAGTCATGCATTACGTATCGTTGTCATCACATGCATAATACCTGGGCTGACAACTATGTCAGTACACATGCCAAAGAGCTTGTTTGATTGTCATGTTTAATAGGTCATTAAATCATTGAAATTAAATCTTGTCAGGAGTTCCTTTCTTGTTGACGCCTACAGGACTATGTAATTAAAAGTAAATTGGTTTTGGTTCAAACTTTTCAAGTTAATAATCTTTTTATCCTTTTAATCTCTTGACAGTCTTGACTCAAAGAACATTGCCTCTCTTTAACAATAAAAGACCACTTCATAGCTGTTGACATGATATATGCATCCAGTTTAACTTTGCACTTCTAACTGCTGCAAAATCTTGAACTGTTCACGAATAAAAAATCTAACAAAGGACAATAAAGGATATTTGTATTCTATTCAAGAACAATTGATTAAATCGGACAATTGCTAAAATGTTGCCTAATTTACTGATGGTACTTCAGACATAATAACTCTAGAGATGAACTGATCTGGGATTAATTATTATCTTTATCAGCCCCAGCGTTGAAGAAAATTCTTGACCAGTTATCAGTAAGAAAGGGCCCATACCGTTCAGTTGAAGTTAGGATAACAGAAACGTTTACCACTTTATGGGATTTGATAAATACAGATCATTTTAACCCTCACACCTTGCATATTTGTTTTCATCCTGAAAGTATATTTTCATGTTTTACTGTTGTGTGACTTCCTTTTCAGACATTATTCTAATCAGAAGTTGAAATTTGGGATGCATGTGTCCATGAATACATATCATAGTTAATTGTAGAGAAAATCAACAGTAATGATATTAAGATTAAAGCAAACACAGCTCTGGTTTTGGAAAAGTATTAGGATCTGCGGATATCCAAATTCAAGTATTGGAATCAGACAGAAAGTGGAGAAATGTGGATCCGGACACCCGCTCACTACATACTGGGTGTTTAGTGGAGTATATCACACATTACAGCAACCTCCATCATAAGATTTAGAACAAGATTCGGCTACAAGCAAAATAATGCTTAAGGACAGAAACAACATTAAGCTATCATCCTGAAATACGTATGCAATGCCTTGCTTCATTACATTTTGTTGGACCTTGATTAGGTAAAATACATTTTCCAATGATCATAAGGATGTCAAATAATACCCATAAATTAGTATCAGGAAAAGCTTGGATGTTGCATCCCAAGAGCCTTTATTGATTACATCATTCAGTGAATGGTTGAAGTTAAGAAAATAATACCAATACCATCTTTTTTAACCGACAACCATCATAACAATTAGGTTTAGTTCAAACAATGGGAACAGGTGAAAATATCCAGTTGACTGAAAGCAGAGTATTAAGGGGCTGTTTTCAGTCACAATTTAATTTATTTCATTGTATCTATTTATTTTGCCATAATTTTAGAACTAAGCATGATTTCCTTTTACTATCTCAGATTTATTGCCCAAACCTTCCTCCAAGCTATACCTTGCTATTGCTGAAAAACTGGTTCATACCTTTGTGCCCTCCCAGTTTTACTGTTCTTGCTTAGATCTTGAGCAACAATTTGCAGAAACTGCCAGATAATGCGGAACGATGTACATATCAACCCATCAACTTTTTGATTTGTTTGTTCCTGATGGCTGCATGAATGGAAGACAATAACTTCCTTCAAGACAGCACCGTGCTTTCTGGAACATTACCTCCTATGAAAATATTGGCTGTCACTGCAGCTTTGTTTTTTTTACATTTCTGCTCCCCTCTAAGCAATCAAAATCGATTTCTTCCCCTCTTAACATATCTCCATTTTACATATAATATTTTAATGCTTCTTTATAGGAGCGACTAGCTTTTTTTTTGCCTTTAGAAAGTGTTTTGATTCTATTACCTGCAACTTATTCATTCTTTGTAGTACTTGAGATTTTTTGTAATGATAAAAAATAAAATCTTTATCATTATTCGTATGCTTTGCTTGCTGTCCAACAACAACAAGGGAATATAAGAGACTCATAGTAGATTTTCTTGGCTTTATTAATTAGCAGTTTTTTTGAGGACATCCAGACAAAATACCACAGAGTAAAAAAGGGCTCTTCTACAACACAGGTGTAAATCTTCCAGAGATTAACATTACTTATGTACTTGGAAGTAAAGTGACAGTTGAACTTCCACACAAAAGTCATTGGACAGGGACTTTGGCTCTGTAAGATATATCAACAAAGCATCTAAGCAAAGGAAAAAAATGTGAAAAAAAATGTGTTATGTATGAATAAAGGTGTTATGGTCTAGCCAGCTGGAATGTTGCTGCAAGGCCGTTGGTTTTTTGGTTGCAGACTTTACAAGACTTGACAGACACAACTGTAAAAACATCATCCGTGATTCTAATGATCTTATTTGTTTTTTGTAATAAATTAATTTGGGGATGCCTAAATAATAATAATATAGTGATCCTTTATTTAGTTTGGTAAACAAAAAAGTTAAATCCTTACCTTGATGTTACATCAGTGACCTCCTCTGTTTGTGAAGCTTTAGAGCAAACATCTATGGAGAGACTTTTTATCTCCCTGAAACACATAAACATGTCCAGATGCAGAACAGGCTTTAGAATTAAGTATTGCAGATATAGAAATAAGAAAATCACACAAAAATACAATAAAATGAACAAAAAAAAAAGAAGAAAAAAAAAAAAGAAAGCCCAGCTTTGCTCTTACCTGCAGTGGCTACAATCTTTGTTTTTCTTTAGGGTGTAGCGAGGTTTCTCTGAACTGTAAAAATGAGAAGAAAATACATAGTCAAACATATTCGGCCGTTGTGGATTGACTATTTGAAATAAAGGTTAAATGTTTTATAAAAGAATATTTTTTTTACACAGAGTTAAAACTTCAGTGTCCTGCAGTTATGCTTCCATGCTCAAAGCAGTACAGAGACACCCTTGTCAATGTGTTCAATGACATCCACTTACACTATATTGCCAAAAGTATTTGCTCACCCATCCAAATTATTGGAATCAGGTGTTCCAATCACTTCCATGGCCACAGGTGTATAAATTCAAGCACCTAGGCATGCAGACTGTTTTTACAAACATTTGTGAAAGAATGGGTCGCTCTCAGGAGCTCAGTGAATTCCAGCGTGGAACTGTGATAGGATGCCACCTGTGCAACAAATCCAGTCGTGAAATTTCCTCGCTCCTAAATATTCCACAGTCAACTGTCAGCTGTATTATAAGAAAATGGAAGTGTTTGGGAACGACAGCAACTCAGCCACGAAGTGGTAGGCCACGTAAACTGACGGAGCGGGGTCAGCGGATGCTGACGCGCATAGTGCGAAGAGGTCGCCAACTTTCTGCAGAGTCAATCACTACAGACCTCCAAACTTCATGTGGCCTTCAGATTAGCTCAAGAACAGTGCGCAGAGAGCTTCATGGAATGGGTTTCCATGGTCGAGCAGCTGCATCCAAGCCATACATCACCAAGTGCAATGCAAAGCGTCGGATGCGGTGATGTAAAGCACGCCGCCACTGGACTCTAGAGCAGTGGAGACGCGTTCTCTGGAGTGACGAATCGCGCTTCTCCATCTGGCAATCTGATGGACGGGTCTGGGTTTGGCGGTTGCCAGGAGAACGGTACTTGTCTGACTGCATTGTGCCAAGTGTAAAGTTTGGTGGAGGGGGGATTATGGTGTGGGGTTGTTTTTCAGGAGCTGGGCTTGGCCCCTTAGTTCCAGTGAAAGGAACTCTGAATGCTTCAGCATACCAAGACATTTTGGACAATTCCATGCTCCCAACTTTGTGGGAACAGTTTGGAGCTGGCCCCTTCCTCTTCCAACATGACTGTGCACCAGTGCACAAAGCAAGGTCCATAAAGACATGGATGACAGAGTCTGGTGTGGATGAACTTGACTGGCCTGCACAGAGTCCTGACCTCAACCCGATAGAACACCTTTGGGATGAATTAGAGCGGAGACTGAGAGCCAGGCCTTCTCGTCCAACATCAGTGTGCGACCTCACAAATGCGCTTCTGGAAGAATGGTCAAAAATTCCCATAAACACACTCCTAAACCTTGTGGACAGCCTTCCCAGAAGAGTTGAAGCTGTTCTAGCTGCAAAGGGTGGACCGACGTCATATTGAACCCTATGGATTAGGAACGGGATGTCACTTAAGCTCATATGTGAGTCAAGGCAGGTGAGCAAATACTTTTGGCAATATAGTGTAAATACAGACTGTGGAAGTACCACAGTGCTGGAAATATTGGACAATGATCACTCAATCTTATTAAAGCTCTTAGCAAAACTGGATCAACCTTTTTGGCTGCGCTGGTTTTAATCCCAGTTGAAGGACAGAGATTTTCATGTGTTAGTAGATTATTTATATGACTGACCAGAGAAATCTTATGTGGCAATCCCCAGGGGTAAATCTTAGGGCCCCCTTATTCAATATCTACATGCTTCCCATAATTCAGATCTTATGTGGACTAATTTTCATACGGTAAATAAAATGTTGACTAAAAATTTTTGTTTTTGCTATAACTATCTTATATTTACCTAGTTGCTTTAATAAAAGAAAATAACTGTAATTTAGTCTTTACTGGTTATTTTAAATTAATCGTACAGTTGAAAAAAACTCTGACCAGATGCAGGTTGTTAACCAATGAAATGTAAAATAAACTTTTTAAGCTTAGGGTTTTACTAACAGCTGCTCGGCACTGGTGGTAAAGGGAGAACCACTAGTATGTTATTATTCTCAACATCTGTTGAACTTGAGGTGTAGGGCAGTTTCTCTCAGGCCCAATGTGGCGGATATTCCAAAGTAATGAAAAGGCATGCTGATGAATTACTCAGGATGCCATTGATCTAATCCTAAATCCTAAGGCTTTAAAATCCACTTTTCCATTGCCACTTAAAAGCCTGGGGCCTTTCGGGGAATAGTTTGCATCTACATACAAATTTACCTATCTAATTTAACTTTGCTTCCCTGAGGCTTTTGTCCCACTAAAGATCGAGTACTTTGTACCTTTCCCTATATTTCCTTGTTGAAGATTGTTCTTGTGTACAGCTGCAGCTCTTTGTTCCACCGGCGGCAGTACAGATCAAGGTGAATCCATAAATGTTTTAAACATCTAGTTTGTCAAAATAAGTTTTAATATCTTTTTAAGCTAGGACATACAACACAAAACTTCATTTTTGCCAGTTTACAGATTTAAAGGTCGTCTTTTAAATCTGTGTCGAAGCGGCAGAGCCTCATACTGACAAGTTGGTGTGGCTACTGATTCAGCTGGGGTTTGTGGTGGGATCCAAACAACTCAGCCATAATGTTGCCATAATGTCGGCAAGTATGTTGGTTATTGCCTGTTATTTACTGTTACATGAAAAGAAGTTTAGGTTATTAGTGAGAAGGTGCACCTCATACTTCATCTGGGAAAGAGATTTTCTCCATGTAAACTTAATATAATGGAGTCTAACCCCTTTATATAAGCATATAAATGTACGTATCTTTGGTAATTTTTCAGTGATTGTTCTATGGTTTTATGCTGGTCCAGCTGTTGCTTCTTGCTAATTTGTTTTTTTTTTTTTACCTTGCAGGAACAGTTTAAGGCCAATTCTTAGGAATAAGGTACTCTTTGGGGATTTAAAAGAGCATGTTGGGATCAATCCACTGGTCCCATAAGAAAAGCTCCTCCTCTTGGATTGGGTATCAGGTTTATGACTAAGGGTATGAATTGAGTTTTGGGTAGGGTTAGGGTTTGTTATGTTTTGGTATTGGTTTAGCTTAGGGTGTGAGTCTGTATTAGGCCATACAAATCAAGTGGCTAGCGGGACATAGTGTTTGTGTTCTTGTATTTGAAACATTGTGGGGTCCATACTTTCGAAAATAGCATGATATGGGGACTAACTGTTTTGTAGGACCCGAAAAGGGGAATTGCTGGGTTAGGGTCAGGGGTCAAGTTTAGGTCTAAGGTGTGAATTGAGTTTAGGTAGGAGTTAGACTTTAACCCGTAATGGTTAGGTTTAGATTAAGGGTCATGATAAGGCTGTAGAAACAGCTTTGTAATAAATGGAAGTCAATGCATAGGCCCCACAAAAACAGACATACATGTTTGTGTGTGTATTTGTGTTACTGTTAAATTTGGTGTGGCAATTTTTTGGCAAATTAAAAGCTTTGTTTGTCTAATGCAGACATGTAACATAAGTATAGCTGGTGGGACGTTTTGTAGCCAGGTATGTAAAGTTATTCAAATAAACAATTTTTGCTAGTACCCGGGTGGCTTCCCAAATGATAAAAAAAACAAACTTTGATTTCCTCCTCACTTTTAAATGGTCATATCTTCCTCAGTTTTTTTAATGATTTTGTTATTAGAAAGCTTAGATTCTACTCCTTTATGATCTGTGAATAACACAAAATGGCCTGGAGGATTTGTTCCTAATTTTGCCTTGACCTGCTACATACGTAGTCATATTATAAGATGAATATGTTTTGTAGGTGATTTTGACTGTTTGGGTCATATTTTTTATTCTGTTCAAAATTTCTGAAGAGCTTCTGTATTCCATTTTAATCAAATTGGCTCAAGAGAACCCAGGAATTAAGTTAAAACACAAAAGTAAAACTGTTTTTCTTAAAACATAGATCAAATAGTATTTTTGCAGCACTCTATAGGTATTAGTGAATACAAAATGTATGTAAGTCAAACAGTGTTAAAGCTTTTATGTTAAGGAAGGGTTTTTGTCAATTAAGGAATAATTTTGCATAATTCCTGACAAACTAAATGGACATATGAAAGTATTGCCAAAGAGAAAAAAAATCTTTGTCAAGTTTCTTTTTTGCACAAATCAAACTGCAGCATTAGGACTCTACATCTATGTGCACAACCAACTGAAACTCAGACATTTAACAATGTGTATTTGCATCCCATTTAACTTACGTTTTCTCCATTGTGTGCCATGGGGGAAGAAACAAGAGGATCACCAAGAAGAAAAAATTAATAAAGAGTGCTACTTTCAGGATACGTCTCCTCATACTCATTTCTGGCTCTTAACCTCGCCCTCTTGTCTCCTCTCTCTCTCTGTTTCCCTGGTGTATCTGCCAGCCACCCATTCTGGGCTCCCTGTCAAAATACCTCCTCCCTCTTAGACAGCTCAACCTTTTTTTTTTCCAATCCACACAGGTTTGTCAATTGCTCAATCAGCTTAAAACTTGAAAAGCTGACTTAAACAAGATTTTATTTTAGCTTTTTTTATTTACGTGATGTTAAAATTTTTAACATGATTTTTCTGTTAATAGATTATAAGAATATTTAGTGGTGTCATATCAATAAAATTTTTTACATTGGCAAAAAAAAGCAATCCTTATTAAAATTGCTACTCTTTTTAACAATATTGCACAGATAAGAAAAAATATATATTTAAAATGGAAATAATGGTCTCAGATGAATCCCAAGAGTTTTAAATATGTATTTGTCAAGAGTATGATCCATATTGTATTAAAGTGCTATTAATCTCTCAAATATATTTTACTTAGCTTCTTAGTGACTTAAAAAGTTTTAATGTAACTTCAGCAGTGTTGGGAGCTGGAGTAGTACCACCTTCCTCCAGCAGAGTCCGCCGTGGATCCTCCGGAGCCGAGCCTCCTGCACAGCTGAGGCTCATTCCTTCATCAGAGGGTCCACACTATATAAGCTGTCTTCAGTTTGGTTAGCACCTAAGCCAAGATCCTTCTGAGTACTTTGTTGACTTTGAATCCAGACTGGATTCTAACCCTTTTTGTCTCTACTT